ACCCCCCAAAAAAAAAAAAAAAAAAAAAATATTGCAGGCCAGGGACCCGCAGGTTGCGTGGTGGTTAAGGCAATTGGACACCCAAGTGGCTGACCACGGTTCGAGTCCTAGACCTGGCAACTTGCTTTCTCACTTTTCTTCTCACTCTCTGTTTCTCTCTGGTCAACGTCAAACTAATAAATAAATAAATAAAAATAACGACAATGAATAAAATGACATAAAATCGTTCTTTTTTTCTTAAAGAATGATTTTATTTAGCTTTATTTATTTATTTTAATTTGACCAGAGACAGAGTAAGAGAGAGAGAGACAGAGAGAGAGAAAGTGAGAAAGCAAGCCACCAGGTCTGGGACTCGAACTGCAACCGGTCATGTAGGAGTCCAGTGCCCTTAACCACTACACCACTTTTTGGCCCCTTCACGTTCCATTTCATCCTCCTGGGTGAGGACTGTTAATTATCCTGATTTTTAAAAAAATATATTTGTTCAGCTATTTATTTGTTGTGATTTTCAAGCTACCAGGTCCAGACCTTGAACCACCATCGGCCATGCAGAATCCAGCACCTTAACCACCATGCCATCTGCTGGCCCCAGTGATCTTCACTTTACATGGGGAAACTGAGGTATGGAAGGACAAGCTGGCTCACCCAGAGTCACACCATGTCAAGTGGCGGGGAGGGGATCTGAACCCTGGACCTGTCGGGGCTGAGCTGTTCTGTTACCTTTGCATGACCACTGGGCGACTCTTCTCTGCTGCCGTCACACACCCCCCCTCCCCGCCACACACTAAACACAAGCTTTGCAGATCAGGGCCACATGCAGTTTGAATGCTGGTGACACGGCTGCCACCTGCAGACACTCCCATTAGCTGTGTGTTGACCGACCCTCTCCCCTGTGATGTGGAGTATGACACTTAAGCACAGCCACCTACTGCCTTAGGTTGGCCCCACCGCCATCCTTCTTGGCTAACTCACAAACACAATATTATTATTATTTTTTTTTTAAGAATTATTGATGTGGCAGTTAGCATAATGGCTATGTCACTGGACTCCCATGTAGTTGACCACAGTTCGAGTCCCAAACCCGGTGACTTAAACTCACGCTGGGCGCGTGTGCGTGCATGCCCAAGATCCCAAGAGGAGAATGGAGAAGAAGGGATTGCGGCGTGGCCATCCCCCCTGGGGGGTCATTTCTCGCTTTCTGTCTCTCTGTCTTTCTGGCGAGTGCATGTGCCCTATAGCAAAAACCTCTCCAATAAATAAATAAATAGAATTAAAAATAAATAAATTTAGGTAAAATAATTCTTTTTTTAAACTTTTAAATTTATCTTTATCCATTTATTTATTTATTTTTATTTGACCATAGAGGGATAGAGTGAGAAAGTGAGAAAGCAAGCTGCCAGGTCTGGGACTCGAACCGAGGTCAGCCATGTGGGAGTCCAGCACCTTTAACCACCACGCCACCTGCCGGCCCTTAGGTAAAATAATTCTAAAGAAGAGATTGAGTATCCTGGGGCTTGCAGGAGGCATGGTGGTTAACAGCGCTGGATTCCCACATGGCCGACTGAGGTTCGAGTCTCAAACCTGGCAGCCTGATTTCTCACTTCCTTTTTCTCTTTCTGTCTCTCCCTGGCCGAATTAAATAATAATAATAACAATAATAATAACAATAAATGGAAACAAATGAATAATTCAAAAAAACAAGAAGATTGGGAATCTCTGGGCTGGCCCAGTAGCCCAGTGGTTGAGTGAACTAACTCCCACATGGCCCACCTAGGTTTGAATCCTGGCCCCAGAGGCTTACAAAACCTCTCTGCCATGGGGCTGGCAGGTGGTGTGGTGGTTGAGGGTGCTGGATTCCCATATGGCTGACGGCGGTTCGAGTCCTGGACCCGGTGGTTTTGCAGCTTGCTTTCTCACTTTCCCTTTCTCTATCTCTCTCTGGTCAAATTTAAAAATAATGATAACAAATGAAATTAAATAAATAAATATTAAAAAAAATAAATAAAACAAAACAAAAAAACCCCTCTCTGCCTCTTTATAATTAGCATAAGTGCCCTCTGTAAACTAAAACAAAAAGGGCCAGGAGACAAGCCAATGGCATAGTGGTTAAGGCGTTGGACTCCCACATGGCTGACTGCGATTCGAACCCCAGATTTGGTGGCTTGAAACTCAGGCTGGGCGTGTGTCTGTGTGTTCCCCAAATCCCGAGAGGTGAACGGAGGAGAAGGGATTATGGTGTGGTCATCCCTCCAGGAGGGTAATTCTCACTTTCTCTCTCTGTCTCTCTGTCTCTCCGGAGAGCACACATGCCCTATAGCAAAAATCTCGCTCTCTAAAAAATAAATAAATGAAAAAGGGCCAACTAGTGGCTTAGTGGTTAAGATCCCTGGATCCTACATAGCTAATGGCAGTTCAAGTCCTGGACCCGACAGTTTGACTAACATGATAGGCGCTAGTGTGTGCATTTCTCCAAAATCCCAAGAGAAGAACGGAGAAGAAGGGATTGCGGCAAGTCTGTACTCCCTGGAGGGTACTTTCTCTCTGTCTCTGTCTCTCTCAAGTTAAAAAAAAATGATCTGGGTCTCTAGGCAGACATGCCTATGCTCCTGACCAAAGCAAAAACATTTCTGAGACCAGAGTCCCTGATCCCAGGGCCAGCAGGCGGCGTGGTGGTTAAGGGTACTGGACTCCCACCAGACAGACAGAAAGAGACAGAGAGACAGAAAGCGAGAAATCACCCCCCAGGGAGGATGGCCACGGCGCAATCCCTTCTCCATTCTCCTCTTGGGATTTTGGGCACGCACGCACATGCACCCGGCGTGAATTTAAGCCACCGGGTCCGGGACTCGAACCATGGTCGACTACATGGAAGTCCAGCGACATAGCCATTATGCTAACTACTGGTCCTGTGGCAGCTTGCTTTCTCACTTTCTCTCTCTCTCTCTCTCTTTCTCCCTCTCACATTCTGTCCCTCTCTGATAAAAAATTAAAATAAATAAACAAATAAATAAAGTTAAATTTTTAAAAATTCTAAAAAAGAAATGATTAAAAAAAAAAAAGAGTCTCTGATCCCTAGCTGTGCACCATAAATGCCAATGGCACAAAGATGAATTAATGAATGAATCACTCATGTGGTGCAAGGGCTTGCTTCTTCTTCTTTTTTTTTTTTTTCTGAAGAGGTTTTTGCTATAGGGCACGTGTGCTCACCAGACAGACAGAGAGAGACAGAGAGACAGAAAGCGAGAAATCACCCCCCAGGGGGGATGGCCACGCCGCAATCCCTTCTCCTCCATTCTCCCCTTGGGATCTTGGGCACGTGCGCACATGCGCCTGGCGTGAATTTTAAGCAGCTGGGTCCGGGACGTGAACTGTGGTCGATTACATGGGAGTCCAGCGACATAGCCATTATGCTAACTGCTGGTCCCTGCAAGGGCTTCTTCGGACTCTGTGTGTCTTACCAGTTCTGTGACCATGGAGTCTTCTTACCGTCTTTGGGTCTCAGTTTCCCCCCTTATAAATGGAGTAAAACAGGGACCAATGGGGACCAGCAGATGGCCTAATGGTTACGTTGCTGGACTCCCATGTAGTCGACCGAGGTTCGAGTCCCAAACCCGGTGACTTAAACTCACACCAGGCACGTGTGCGTGTGTGCCCAAAATCTTGAGAGGAGAATGGAGGAGAAGGGATTGCGGCGTGGCCATACACCCTGGGGGGTGATTTCTCGTTTTCTGTCTCTCTGTCTCTCTTTGTCTTTCTGGCGAGCGCATGCACCCTATAGCAAAAACCTCTCCGAAAAAAAAG